TCCCACCCTCCCTGCAATCGCCGTCCAAAGCCACGCCCCCTGAACGCATATACGCTCGCTCACAGACCAGAATACCAGAGACAACATTACTACAATAGGCTACATCAGGTTCCCAATTCCAGCCCATGTTGCAAAGTGAAGTAAACTTCAACGGATTTCCCCCGCTCCGGGAGTAGGGAGTAATGAACACTGTGTAGGGATCATATCGATCGGAACACAGTTCATGCACGTAGCTCACTTCTAACGAGCTGGCGCAAGGACTAGATTAACCGCTGGGCTACATCATGTGTCATTCACCGGTGAGAAATCTTTAAAAGTACTACAATACCAGGAAGGAAGATCGGGTTGTTGATGTTTGCCTGCCATCCTCGCTCTGTCTGCGTGAACGCGCTGATGATGTATCCTGTCTGCACGAACTGGGTGCGCAGAGGTATGCTAATACATACGTTGACAGGCAGGTAGGAAAGCATATTAAAACGCTCGGACCGAGCGTTTTGATTGGACGAACATTTCTTGATCCTACACCTTCCACAGAATATATAAATACAGACAAATACATTTAGACCACTTAACTTAATGATTGCTATCGGGATGTGAAGAGACTTTCAACCAGCATAACAAAAAATGTTTCTGAAGACAATCACCTATTGCACCTTTAACAACTTGAATTAACAAGTACATTGAATTAAAAATGAAATTTTGAAGTAGACAGACTGAAATAGTTTTCTTGTAAAACATACTCCAATAATCTTTGTATTATTTACAACTTTGAAAAATATTTATTTACAGTATACCCTAAAATTTGAGTTTAATGATAATCAATGAGTTTAATGATAATCAGATTCAATACTTGATTTCAAATCCATTGCTCATTGTTTTTTTAGACCAATGGCACCATCTAAAAACTGATATCATGTGGTAGACCAGCTAATACTCAGTAAAATGTATATGTAATAATAAAGTCTTGGTTGTCTTTTCTTCTTACTCATTTTCCATCCTCTCTTTCCACAGACTCTTCTGGTCCTCTCCAGCTTCTCCGCCATTGCTCTCGTCCTCTCGTTACTTGTAGTTCTCTCCTTCCTCATCCACTACTGCTGCTGCCATTGTGGTGAGGGAAGCCGGGATGCAGAGGAAGAGGAGGAAGACGATGATGCCAGCGGCAGAAAGGGGCGGGGCATCTGCTGTGTCACATGGGTATCGGTTGCAGCTGTCACATTGTGTTGGTAATGCCTGTTAATGACAGTCATTTTCAGATGCCAGTGATTACTGTCTGTGGAGCAGACATTTTTAATTCAAAAGATAATAGAAGGTCATGAACAAGCAGTACTGCAAAACACATCTTTAAGATTTGTCATGCTTTTATGGTTCGCCCTTCTGGCACGATAGTCATACGATGCAAAAATTATATTTGATATTTTTCGAGTAAAGGTGCGGTCACAATAGACTTTGTGCTCGATTCAGTTCAATTTATACACATGTGAATTACAGAGCAGAATACCAGAGAAAAGTTTAGTGAATAAAATAAAATATTAAAAATGTTCCCTACTGTATTTAACTCACACCATATTGTGCTTTCACACATCAGAGTGCAGAATAAGAAAACTGTTCAGGGCTTCTCTTATTAGCAGCAACCTTAAACTTACTGTCCATATCTGTAAAAGCTAAACAGTAGCTTTTTTTCCCCCACTTCTAGACTTGCATTATAAAGATATCATGCTTTGTTCTAAATAAAGCTCTGTTTCATTTGCACATTTGCAAGGGATGGTTTCCTTCAATTATGTTCTCTCAGTACACACATACTGGCAGAACACCAACCCATTTAATATATTCAGGGCAATGAATATGAAACCCAATGCTTTTTCATGCCTCATTGATCTGAACCATCAGCATGATGTATTAATGTTCTTGAAGTCACACATAAATTGTTTGTGTAAATTAGCATTGTTTCTGTGAGAACTGGTTTGGTTTGCTCTGTGCATGATGCAAACGTTCTGATGCGGCACGTGTTCCGCCCCCATGACATCACCCCCATCCCATCCACTTTGGCCTCTTTTCTGAAGGATTCCGAAGCTAGACACTGATTTACAGATGACTGCATATATGCATGCACACCTTTACTGCTTACATTGCGATTATAATTTCGAAATACACATTTCTGCTTTCTTTGGCTTAATCTGGGTCAAACAGTTAGCGAGAGGCTGAGATTTGCTATTTTTAGCAGGTTGGAAAGGATTGGACAAGCATCTGGCCCAAGCATTAATCTGAATATTTGAATGTGAAATAGATATGTAAATGAGTGAATTTTCAGTGTTGTTGATTCCAATGCTCTTTAGTGTGTTTGCATTGAAACCATTTAATATGAATACTACCATTTAAAAGTTTGGTATCAGATTTTCTTTCTAACAAATTTATACTTTTATTCAGCAAGGATGCATTACATTGATCATATGTGACACTGACAGTAAAGATATTTAAATATTGTTAAAAAGATTTCTATTTTGAGTAAATGCTGTTGTTTTGAAATTTCTATCTAACAAAGAATCCTAGAAAGAAAAACTTTTTTCAACATTTTTAATTATAAGAAATGTTTCTTGAGCACCAAATCAGCATATTAGAACGATTCCTGAAGGATCATGAGACACTGAAGACTGGAGAAATGATTGCTGAAAATTCAGTTTTGCCATGATGGGAATAAATTACATTTTATTTCACACAAAATGTAATTATATTTCTCAGTATTACAGTTTGTACTGTATTTTTGATCAAATAAATGCAGCCTTGTTGAGCATAAGAGACTTCTTTCAAAAACATTAAAAAAATCACCGACCCCAAACTTTAATAAGTGTAAATGTACATAATCTATCTTAAATATGTCTAATTTTGTTTTACTCTCTCCCTTTTTTGATTCCCTGTTCATGTTCTCTTTCTTCCCTCTCACTTTCTCTTTCTTTGTCTTCTCTCCTTGTTTCCTTGTTCATATTTCTGCTTTTTGTAGTGTTGCCATAGGCATCGGTTTCTACGGCAACAGTGAGGCGAACGATGGGATGTATCAGTTGACCTCATCCTTGCTCACTGCCAATTACACACTGGCTTCCATCGATCTTCTGGTGAGAACACAAATGCGCACACACACACACTCATACATACACAAAAGCTTATTCCATCAATCTCCTTAAGCACCAGGGGACCAAAAGAAATGGAGGACGTTCAGAAAACACACTAAATGGTTTTATTACACTGTGATTGCAAGTAAGCGATCGGGGGAATTCAGAGTGAGAGAGTGTTTGAACGTGTTTGTGTGTGAACGAGTGAGATCTCTCCGGGTATTGATTTAGCTGGTTGCTTATATGGTCAATCAATGAATGCACGTCAATCTGATCTGGATACAAATGCATTGGGTTAATGCCATAATTCAAAGCAAAAGATCTTTTCCTCTTGCATACCCAGATTTCAGACACCGTAGTCGGGCTGCAGCAGTCTGTCTCAGGGCCCTTGACCTCCATGGAGGAAGTGTTCGGTGGACATAAGCCGGCACTCGTGCCCACACGCTCCTGCAGGCGTCTGTCAGAGCGAGTCATGTCTCTCCTCTCCAACCTGACACTGGGAAGAGGTCTGATCCCCATTGCAGATGGATTTTACAGGGCAAATGGAAGTGAAAGCATAGTGGCAGCGCTCACCCCAGCACCTCCCTCTGTAGCCCCCACTCTCAGTCCATCTGCCAACAGCATTCCTGCAGCCTTCTCCCCTGGCTGGGCAGCAAACACACTCATGGTGAATGAAGACTACAGGTGAGGAGACATCAAAGGCATGAGTGCTAATAGAAAAAGAAAACCTTTGTGAGTTCACTGCTTATAAATGCTGATATTCAACTGATTAAAAATATATCACAATATGCTTAAAGGGCCATATTCGATGCCTTTATGACTTTTTATTCAAGATTTTTGAAGCTTAGTTTTTATGTTTAAATATATATTTAGGTGGTCATAAATTTTGTCATTAATCACTCGTCGTTCCATAACCAGTAAGACCTTCGTTCATCTTCAGAACACAAATTAAGATATTTTTGATGAAATCCGAGAGCTTTCTGACCCTCCATAGACAGCAACGCAAATGAAACGTCGAAGGCCCAGAAAGGTAGTAAGGACATCGATAAAATAGTCCACGTGACATCAGTGGTTCAACCGTAATCTTATGAAGCTACCGAAATGTTTTGAATACTTTTTGTGTGCAAAGAAGACAAAAACAACGACTTTATTAATAAACAATTTCTTCTCTTCCGTGTCAGTCTTCAACGCGCGTTCATGACAGTACCACAGCGCATGTGTGTGCATTTCTCTGCCTGCAAACAAGATGCAGGGCATCCGGGTTTTCTTTGCGTACAAAAGGTATGCTTGTAGCTTCAGAAAACGGTTGAACCACTGATGTCACATGGACTGTTTTAACGATGTCCTTACTACGTTTCTGGGCCTTGAATGTGTCAGTTGCGTTGCTGTCTATGCAGGGTCAGAAAGCTCTAGGATTTCATCAAAAATATCTTGATTTGTGTTCCGAAGATGAATGAAGGTCTTACGAGTTAGGAACGACATGAGGGTGAGTAATTACTGACAGAATTTTCATTTTTGGGTGAACTATCCCTTTATTTTAAAATGTAATTTATTCCTATGATGGCAAAGCTGAATTTTCAGCAGCCAGACTGGCACAAGCAACGTTTCCTCTTATTATCAATGTTGAAAACAGTTGTGCTGCCTAATATTTTTGTGAAAACTCTTTTCAGTATATATTATCCACTCTCAGAAAAAGAAATGTGCAAAAAATGTACTACAGCTTGACACTGGGGCAGTACCCTCAAAGGGACACCTTTGTACCTTCTTTACTCATAAAGTTGTCATAGTAATATGTACTATTATGAACCCTTTCGGGGGAAAGGTACAAACGTGTCTCTTTGTGGGTACTGCCCCAGTGACAAAGTACAATTTTTGCACTTTTTTTCCCTGAGATTGTAAAAAACAACTTAATGTGGCAGCACATTCCTTGCATTATGCAAATGAAAATATGAATAAATGATGAATGAGAGGGAAAAATAAGAAAATGCTAAATTAATTGGGTTTCTGCAGTAGTACATTTTCTCATTTTCTCTATCTGCCTTTTGCAGGTGTGACAATAATGTATTTTGGACTCTGGGTGTAGGTTTTGAGATTTCACCGTATTGAAGATGTCTGTGTTTGTTGTTTAGGTGGCTGTCATACGTGCTGCTGCTTTTACTGGATCTGGTGGTGTGTTTCTTTATTCTTCTGGGTTTAGCCAAACAGGCCCGCTGGCTACTTATTCTGTGAGTAACAATCACTGCTGACCTGCTTTAAGTGTTTAGTAGTTTTGACATGCACACAGCATTCTTGCATAATGTAAATCAAACATAAGCGTTCACAGTAGTGTGTTTATTATGTATATTATGTATCTGAAATCCCCAAGATAGAAAATGCTTGCAGAAAATGGATTTTATTTTTGCTTACTGACACCCACTCTGGCACAGAGAGGCAGATGGTAAAAATGTGTGTGTGTGTGTCAACAGAAGAGACAGACGGCTGCACGTGAGTGTCCTGCATAATACTTGTTCACATTTGCAGGATGACAGTGCTGGCCTGGTTGGCTCTGTTTCTGAGTTGGGGTTCTCTCGGCCTGGAGACGGCCACAGTGGTGGTGAGTATTCAGGCAACGTCTATCCCGACAGAAAAACAACAGCTCTCTGCAAGCAGACATCCAGCGCATAATACCGCCATCTGTGTGTGAATGAGTGTGTGTGAGAGTGTGTCAGCGCGCTTTGCGGAGACATCACTAAAAAATCCAGACAAAACTCTGTGAATGTGACTTTTTAAGTTTTAAAAGGTCACACCAGCCAAGATGCAGTCACTTATTGTGTGCTTATGAAAGAGGGAGAGAGGAATAGAGTGTGTTTGTGCATGTTATAATGAAAAAGGTTTTCCACTCTGGGAACTCAGCAGTCATGGCACAATCCCAAAAAGGCAGAAAAATAGGGCAGAGATTAAAGATTCAATGTGTGTGTGTATCTGAGTGTGTGTGTGTTTCTTTGCAAAAAAAAAAGAGAAAAAAAAAATGGATGCTGCGTTGAAGATGAGCATAAGAGGTCTTAAAAGCAACAGGAAAAGAAGAGAGTGAGAGAGTGACGTTGAGTGTTTCAGAGAGGAATACAGCAGTAATGGACTTAAACAGGAAAGAAAAAATATGTAAGTGTAAAAATACAAATGCAAATAAACAACCATTCAAAAGTCAGTAGGATTTTTTAAAAGAAATTAATTATTTTATTCAGCAGAGATGCATTAAAATGATCAAAAGTGGCAGTGAAGGCATTTATATTTCTATTCACGCAAAAATATTAATATTAAGCACCAAATAAGTATATTACTGATTTCTGAATAATTAAAATGATTTCTGAAGGCTGGAGTAACGGCTGCTGAAAATTCAGCTTTGCCATCATAGGAATAAATTACATTTCAAAATATATTAAAATATAAAAGAGTTATTTTAAATTGTAAATTTGCAATAATATTTTAAAATATTACTGTGTTTTTGATCAAATAAATGCAGCCTTGGTGTGCATAAAAGAAAAAAAAAATCAAGTCCAAACTTTTGAATTTTGGTGTATATATGTAGGATAAATGTTATGTGTCACCAATATTAACCTAACCCAAAATCTTAATGGCAATGCCGATGATGTGAAAAAGAGAACGAAAGAAAGAGAAAGAAAGATTGAAAGAAAGAATGAAAGAAAGTGACAGGAAGAGATGGCAGTTGCTGGCCTTCAAAACAAGTGTTTCATTGTCCAAATCCAGCCAGCATGAACAATTGCCTAGTATTCCCTCTTTATTATATATACACACACTCACACACACACACACACACACACACTCACACTCTCACGTTTTCTGTCCTCTTTTGTCTCTCTCTCTTTTTCCTGACCCTCTTTAGTCCTCTTATGAAGCTCTTGGTAATATTGAGTCCTATTCACTTTGATTAATCACCCAGATTCCATAAGGGAATGCAAGTGTGCTAAAGAGACAGACAGTGCAGTGTGGACAAGAGGAAAGATGGAAAACTGGTTGAGGGATGAGAAAAAAAGAGATTATAGGGGCAGTTTGTATGTGTCAGTGAATACTGTAGATCAATAGCAGTCAGAGCCGTGGGACAGAGACTGAGGGAAGTATGTCACTTGGTCACTGTGTCACACTTTTGACATCTCTCTTCTGTATTTGCTTTTGCTCAATTCCCTTTCTTGCTCTCTCTCTCTCTCTCTCTCTTTCTCTCTCAGGCCCTAAGTGATTTTTGCTTTGACCCAAACACTTTTGTGCTTAACTCCACTCACTTCAACTCTAGGACAAGTACAGGTGCAGTAAACTCTTTCATACACAATTGCTCGGTTTCAAAACCTATTGAGCTGCCTACGTAGGCAGCATTGTAGGGCATCAGTTACTCTCCCAATATGAAGGCTGTACAAAAAGGCAGGTTAATTACCGGTAAGTGCGGTACCGAAGATACCTAATTTTAGACAAATTATAATGCAGCATCACAGCATTCTTTGTGGGGAAGGCATTCCCACAATGCATTGCATCGAGCGCCATTAAAGAATAACTCAAAGATGGTGGACGAGGTAAAATAAATGTTGATTACGAATATGTTTAATTTAAAAACTAACAATAAAGTAGTTCCATGTAATTAAAATGGGTTAATTTACCCAATATTTTTGTGTGCTATTCTAGCTTAGCAACAATGCTAAAGTCACATTGGCAAATTGAGTCTCCCATGTGAAGCATAATTTGTGTTTCACATATGTAGTGTTCCAAATCAGTCACTTAGGGTACGTTTACATGACAACAATGAGTGGAACATACAGACGACAAACGATCCCCATTTACACAGATCCGCAAAAGTGATTAAAAACGCTGTATTATGCATGCCAGGCCAGCAGTTGGCGATGTCACACATGTGCATGATGCCACCATTTTCACAAATTTACAAAAAGACGATAATGGTATCATTTTGAAAAACGTACACTTTGAAATCCTTTTTCAAAAATGTGAATTTTCGGGCCCAAAAACGCCATTGTCGTGTAAATGAATGGCCAAAACATATAATGTTTTTTGTTCAAAATGGTGACATTTAAATACCTCATTAGGTTCCCTGACAGTTAGAATACTGTCTTAGGGGCCATTCACACAGAGCGCATTTTTGCAAGCGCAACACGCAGGGAAATGGAATGTAAAAAAAATACAAAAAACGAGTGTAAAAACATTTTAACTTGAGTGCCACATTTTTTTAAAAACACTGTCATGCACAAAACATGCTTTACCTAGAAAAAAATGAAGAAGTAGACCAGTGGAATACAAAACCGTGTTCTGTGTGAACGGCCCTCGGAAGGTAGCTGTCTATGTTGGCAGTAAGCGATGATACAGCTCACTAAGTTTTGGAACAAGTCTAACTGTCCATCTGCCTTAATCTCTGACGCATACGCAGTCTTACCCACGTCTTCAATCTTATTTTTCTCACTCTCTCTCTCTCTCTCTCTCTCTCTTCTCTCTAAATAGAAATCCTGGATTATTACCTAACCTGCAGCAGGAAAATGAGCAGCCCTTTTCAACAGGTGCGCAATCTTGTTACATGATGCTGCAGACGGTGATGTCATAGAGATTACTAAAGGAGTAAAAAATAGAATGTTAATGATATCACAAGGCAGAATTCCCCAAATATAAGAAATTATAATGATGTCACAAAGTACAGATTAAGATTAAAAAGCAATGCCATTTATGTCACTGTGGGGATGAACAGAATAAAGAGGATTATGATATTATAATCAAGATTTTGTAATCAAGACCCAGACAGTGTTTTTGGGGGAGCTGATGCATGAAGAATGGAATTTGATGTCGTAAAAGGAAATTATAAGGAAAGTGAAATACGAAAGGCCAGTTTCAAACTGTGAGTTTCACACTGACAGCATTTCTGATGCATAATAGAACTGCTGCTCTATAGAGAAAAGAAAGTGTAGTGAATATTTCCTTTAATAACGCCCACAAATAATACTTTTATTGAGCCATTGAGAGTTATGATATTACTTCATAAAAGCAATCTCAAATTCACTCTATTTTCTTCTTTAAAAAAAAAGCTCAGTGCTTAAAGGGGTCATATGATGCTGCTAAAAAGAACATTATTTTGTGTATTTGGTGTAATGAAATGTTTATGCGGTATAAGGCAAAAAAAAACAAATTTTCCACATACTGTACATTATTGTTTCTCCTCTATGCCCCGCCTTTCTGAAACGCGTCGATTTTTACAAAGCTCATTGGTCTGAAAAGCGAGGTGTGCTCTGATTGGCCAGCTATCCAGTGCGTTGTGATTGGCCGAATACCTCAAGCTTGTGACGGAAATGTTATGCCCATTATCATACTGTGATGCCCTGTCAGGCCGGAGCAATGATTCAAAAACATTAAAACCCATTATAAACGAGGCATTTGTTGCATCGAGTGGGGGCATAATTATGGATTATAATGGCTGTACTCGTTTCTCTCGGCTTTGGCGTTCACAGCTATTCTTTGCTCCCTCCCTGGAGCCTGGAGGAGTTTCCACAGGTGAGGTGAACTTCATCCCTCCACCCCGTCCAACATCCCATCTGCTGTTGTTTTCATGGCACAATATTCATGGTGTTAGTTATTCTGATTTGTTAAGATGAATGAGGTGCATAAAAAGTAGTGTTGCTTTTGATTTAAATATTATTATATCATATTATATAATTTATATATCATGTGGTAATTATGTATTTATTTATTATTAAAAAATATATATATAAAAATAATTTTTTTTATATATTTTTTGAATATCCTAAAGTTTTGTTTTTTTTTAACAGCAAATTTTTTATGTGGTCTCAGACTTTTGCTCTCCACTGTATTTCTGAATGCAGAATGTGCATATGGCTTTAAATGCTTATTTTTTTATACACAGGGAAATACCCAAGACAAGGCAATGTCATCTTAATATATATCAGATTGCTATCTAGGATGTATCTCTAACATGAATAATAAGATGCTCACTGGGAACCTGAAAATTTCTGATTTTTAATGCAAATAATTCCATCCTCAACAACAAAAGCAGCCGGATGTTAATGGAGGTGGGCTGCTCGGTCTGGGTCGACTCAACTCCACTATAGTTTATCATAAATGGGCCTGTGGTTACAGAGTAAACACTGACAACCGCACTCATCAGCAATGCACAGATGAGAGAAATATGATCTCAACTTAAGGGCATTAGTGCTTAAAAGCACTTCACTCCTTTTATCTGGATATGGTATTAATGTCACTATAACCATTAGTTCAGAAAGCTCAGTCACTTACTACACTTATTACAGCCCGACTTGGTACACTCCCTCCAAGTGCCTGATGATGGCAAATCCAATTTGTTTTTTAAGTATCAGAGGTAGCTGCAGTGCTTAATTGCAGCAAAATTGTGTTCAGAGCACAAACTCCATTTAGATGGCAGATGCATAGATTACTGAAATGGCAAAGAGGAGCGAGACAGATTAAAGGATTACATCTAGACTGGGATTATTTGATTTCATGACAGTATCTACATGTATATAGTTAAGAGAGATTTTTCAATAAATGTCTTTAAAGCCTTTGTTTTGCACATAACATATAGCAGATCAAACGTATACTTATTTCATGACGTATTTTTCACTTTTTTTGTTGCATAATTCTCATTGGATGGCATAGCGATTCAGAGGAATACGAGGACTCCGACAGCGAAAGCGAGGACCCCTTCACTTCTCATCAGGCACGTAGACCAACGGCCACGGGCTCCCAGCGAGGGGCCTTGCCCCCCTTCTATAGTTACCAGGGGGCCGGCTGGACTCCCCCCTTTTCTAGCGCACCTCCGTTACCGTGAGTAACACATACACAGACACACAGACAGACAGACAGAATGACCTTTCCCATACACCACCATGAGCTTGTGTAGATCACCCACACAGAGATTTTTCTTTCCTTTTGAATTATTTATTAATTGTCTGAAGTACTAGGAGTGCCACTTAAAAATAAAATGAAGGAATCATATCAGTTTATTAATTGAAAATCGAAATGTTATTAATTTTTTTTAAACTGACAAATAAATACACATTCGTAACTGTTTATTTAATTAATAGATCAATTTAACAATAATATTTTATTATTTTTCCAATTAAATTTTCCAAATGCTCCTCAGTTGAGTTAAAAAAAATTATAAATTTAAGCTCTTAAAAATTATTTATCAATTTATTATTTGTTACTACAATATGGTTCAGCAAGGAATTAAAGTGATCAAAAGTAAAAGCAAAGACATTTATAATGTTACAAAAGATTTCTATTTCAAATAAATGCTTTTATTTTGTTTTGTATCATTCATTAAAGAATCCTGATAAAAAATGCATCATGGTTTCCACAAAAATATGAAGCAGCACAACTGTTCAACATTGATAATAATAAGAAATGTTTCTTGAGCAGCATATCAGCATATTAAAATGATTTCTGAAGGATCATGTGACACTGAAGACTGGAGTAATGATGCTGAATATTCAGCCTTGTAATAAATTACATTTGAACATATTTTTAAATAGAAAAAGAGTAATAATTCACAATATTGCTGTTTTTACTGTATGTTTGGTCAAATAAATGCAGCATTTATCGTTGAGACTTCATATGATGCGATTTAAATTTTTCCTTTCTCTTTGGAGTGTTACAAGCTCTTGGTGCATAAAGAATATCTGTAAAGTTGCAAAGACTAAAGTCTCAAATCCAAAGAGATATTCTTTATAAAAGTTAAGAGTCAACCACGCCTACCTAAAATGGTTCACAATCAGAGCACACCTCGCTTTTCAGACCGATGAGCTTTGTAAAAATCGACGCATTTCAGAAAGGCGGGGCATAGAGGAGAAACAATAATGTACAGTATGTGGAAAATAATGTGTTTTCTTAACCTTAAATCGCATAAACATTTCATTACCCCAAATACACAAAATAATGTTCTTTTTAGCAACATCATATGACTCCTTTAAAAACTTTTTTGAACGGTAGTGTACATTTTTAAACATTAAATAAACACTATAAAATATGTATGTTTGTCAGTTTTGTACATTTTGTTATTTTTTAATTAATAAATTCATAAATTTTTAATTATTTTTTAAGTGGCACTTCTAGTCTTCCTTATAAGTTTAGGTATTAGAAATTCACCGATTCTTGTTCTTTTCTTGAGTAGCTGTGCATCAAGGTTGCACTTAATATAAAACATAAAACACATTTATAGGCTCATATACATAAACATGCAGAAACAAGTGTCATGCATACGCAGGCAAACACATAAAGCTCCAGTCATACACAGACAGCTAGTCAGGCAGGTGTTAGATAGATGGAGCGCACAGACAGACAAACACAAACACATGCACACACAGACAGACACACAGACAGGTCTACATGTCAAGCACAGTCTAGCCAAAAAACAGACATGAGTCCAGAGGTCTGTCTGTCTGTGTGTCTGTCTATCGGTCTGTCCGTCATTGCAAGACAGACATAGATCCTCCAATCAGAGACGATGCACAATATAGGTAAAGTCCCGCCCCCTCCCATATTTCTGTCCACTGTCAAAAATCATGCTGTCCAAACTACATCACTCTTTCAAATCTATTGCAGTCTGCCTTGCTGTTTCTTTCTCCATGCTTTTTAACATTCCCTGTTTCTCTCTCTCTCTCTCTCTCTCTCTCTCAATTATTTTGTTTTGAAAGATCATATTTGCTGTTTTCATAAAATTAGGTCTGACGTCAATACTTCTTCTCACTTCATTCACATTTCCATGTGCTTTAAATTCTATATTCTAAATTTAGATATATTACAAATTCCCTGAATTCATTCCTCAATTTAAATATCTTTTTGTGTCCTTTTGGAAAAAGAGCTAAAGATTCTGATAGTGAAAATGTCACATCTCTCTAACTCTCTTCCACCTTTTCTCTTCCTGTTTCCACCCTGGATCCTGGCTCTCATCCTTCCCTGTGTCCCTTTGGTGTGGCATGTCATTCTTGCGTCTCTCCATGGTCCCCTTCTCCTGGTTCCTCTCTGCGCCTCTCTCTTTCTCTATGCAGGACTCCAAACGTTTCCTCCAATGGCAACCCTGGTTATGAGAACCTGTGTTTGAGTGACAGGCAGTCCCCACCCCCCTCTGTGAGTTCCCTTGTCTTTGTCACATCTCTGCGATCTGTGGCATTCTCATGATTCATTGTGTTAAGATTCACACAGACTGACACACGGATCAGACTAAATGACCGTTCGCTAAGCCCCGCCTTAAAACGTTACTGACCAATTGCAATCCACCATGTTATCAGACAAACTTTTGCTATTTTTTAATATAATCCTATAGAAGTCCTATTTGTTTAGATGATGTTTAGTGGCATGTGTTCACTACTGTGCAAAAGTTTTGGGTTGGTACAATTTTTTTTTTTTTTTTTAAGAAGTCTCTTATGCTCACCAAGGCTGCATTTATTTGATCAAAAAAATACAGTAAGACTGTAATATGTTGAAATATTATTACAATGATCAATTTTAATATAATTTATTCCTGTGATGCAAAGCTGAATTTTCAGCATCATTACTCCAGTCTTCAGTGTCACATGATCCTTCACAAATCATTCTAATATGCTGATTTAGTGCTCAAGAAACATTTCTTGTTATTAACTATGTTGAAAACAGATGTGCTACTTAATATTTTTGTCAAAACCATAATACATCTTTTCAGGATTCTTTGATGAATAAAAAGTTCAAGAGAACATAATTTATTTTAAATAGAAATATTTAATAACATACATTTTTCATATGTCTACTGTCATTTTTAATCAATGTAATGCATCCTTCCTATAAAAGTATTATTTATAAAAAATAAAAAAAAATAAAAAAAACGTATTGACCCTAAACTTTTCAACAGTAGTATATGTTAGGACATAATACATTTTCATATTTCATATAAAAATATTTACAAAAAAAATTGCATTGTCATATTTCATGTAGAAACAATATCCATTAAATTTTAATCACTTTAACACATTTTACCTTAAAAAAAGTCTCCAGTTCATTCCAATGGGACATTCTGAAAAGCTTGCAGTAACTAAGGGGGCGGAGCTTAGTAAAGGGTATAAATATATATTGTGAGAAAACAACGGTAGGATACATAAGATTTTTTAAATGTATATAAGTATGCACTTATGATTTAATATTTTAATGGATATATAATTTTTTCTTTCCTTTATTCTCTCCTCCACTCGCGGATCCGGCTCCGGCTCCTCTTCGGACTCCTCTTCCATGCGGTTTTCTGAAAGTACAGTACTCTCCCAGCATGCTGACTGGCTACGGCGGCAGTCAATCACACTCCAACCCGTCCCATTCAAGAAACCTGTACTCGCACTAATTATTTTTCTGTACAGTAGAAAAGAAAGATATAGAGCAAGGTTTAGTTTTCATATGGATGGGACACTTTATGAGACGAGAGACTAATTTAAAACTCTAGATGTTAAATATCTGTGTGTAACGTTAGTACCATTGAGTCATTTGGGTGTAACAGACAGAAAAAGCGTGTGCGTCATATATAGTCGTCCGATCCTATCACTTCCTCTCCCTCTAGTGTCATGCTGTACATAGCTGGTGGAAACAAGATGGTATTGACGTTACAGTAGTGGTCTATATTTAAATGTATAACCACTTTATTTTGGAGGTTTTATATTGTTACATGTAGTCACAGATACGTAGTGGCGATGGCACAATTTCTTTGTATGATTATGCAGTTTTTTCTTCACCTTTCTTTCTTTTTTTTTAATATTTGACAGGACCCTATTTTATAAGTGGCAATTCTGTATTACCTTGTATGCCCTCTGATATAATATGATTATTTATTTATATAATATAAATATATGAATATATATATTCACTGTATAAACGTTTGATTGTTAATGCATTTTGATGATCAAAGAAAAAAAAATCTGTAAAACATTGTTGAGGGGCTAGTGTCCGTTTCCTCTGCTGGCTCTGAGCAATACAACTGCGTTTTGCCATTTGCAATGCAATGGCCACAATGTAAGCAGCAATAATCATCGGGACATCTTGCAAAAACCGTCTGTGTGTGTCAGAGGTTCTCATGACATGTTCAGTATATACCGTCTATATATATATATATATTTGAATGGCATCCTTTTTCACTACAGAGTCTAATATAAATGAAATAAAAATACAGTAACAAAAGTGGAATGTCTGAAAATGTTTTTATGTCTTTACAGCTGCTGATGCAAAACACTACAAGCATCCTGCTAAATAAACCTATACCTGGTTATTACCTGCAATAGGTGAGAAAGATTTTCCACTATAAAATGTTGTTTTTAATTACTTATTATATTAAACAACATGATTTAAATTATACATTCAAGATTATTTAAACTATTTGATCTGTCTAACTATATGAAGCACAGCATGTTATTCTATGTATGCCCAGTACTGAAACGGTTAATTTAAATAAATTTTCACAATTACAGCTTTTACCTATAAAATTCAGTAAAGATTTATGCAGAAGGGTTGTTAATGTTAACTAAAACTATTATTAATGGACACAAATCTGACAAAAAAAAATTTATATTACAAAATGTTGACTTGGCAACTGAAATAAAAACATTTTTAAGTACATAAATTATTAAAACTAAAAGATAAAAAACAAAAAATAATAAATATTAAATATTTATTATTAAAATAATTACTAAAACCTAAACTGAAATCTGACTATAAAAATAAAACAAGCTCAAAAATTTATAAATACTATTATAATAAATAAAATAGAACTGTTATCCAGTCCCTTTTTTAGATTATACAGCTTCACATTCATGTATGTACAGTATATATATATATTTTTCTTTTCACTAAAACACTTTTTTTCCACATTTTCCATTTTTTCCACAAATTCAACCACAAGTAGATATCTGACAGCTATAGTGCAGTATAGTGTCTACAGGGGCACTTAGCTCATAATTAGGCCTAGGAAATAAGATTGAAAAAAAAAACAGAATTAAAAGAATTTTATTAAATCCCACATTTATTTTATTAATTTTGGGCACTTTTTGTAGCATACTTGCCCAAAGTCATCAGACCCTGCTCTGCATTTAATATGACCCTTTTTGCAAATTCAATTGACTGATTCACTGACTTGATTAAATATCATTTGACAACAGAACATTAATCAACAAACATTAGTAATCAGACAAAAACAAAACACCATTTGTAGTCATAATGACAATTTCAAACAGCTCTTCCGCAAGCACTGCGTGAGCAAAAACAGTCCAGGTAGAAATTCAAATAAATAAATCAAATTTATTCAGTTTCCCTCCATTTGGTGGTTTTCACTGAGTCGATGTAAATGAGGCAGTTTGCAAGAGAGCTTGAAAGAGTAAAGGACGTGAGCATGAGATAGAGCTACAATCTCTTATCTCCTTTGTTTATGCATAGTAAGATCTAAACTGACGTCTAAAGGCAATGAACCATACATACTTGAACTCTAAAGTACCATTTCTGTGCATAGTTGTAACAAAGACACACAAATCTTTGATCTACTTCAGCAGTGGAGTGCATAGATAGAGATAAAGTGAGAGATGGTAGTTCCTGAGAGGAGAGAAAGACAGAAAAGAGGAGAGTGACGTGGCTGGCACAGCTATAGTAGTGTCTCCCACAAGCATAGCCAGTGTGACTTCAGATAAACGGCTCCTTCATATGAGGCAACACTAGATCATTCTCTCTGACTTCCCTTTGTGTGGATGAATGCGAGCATCTTCCTGTAGTGCTGCTCTCCATAAAGCTTCTCGGCGCTCCAGTGTTTCTCTTTTTCTCTGCCATTACTCCACATTGAGAGAGAAAGAGAGAGAGAATGTTCAGTTTCATCACTTCCTGGTGTCGTCTGCTTTCAACCACGTCCCATCTTCGTCTACTTCCTTTTGGACGACAAGGAGCATTTCTGCAACATCCTGAGAAAGCTGCTCAGTGAGAAATGACCTGGGAGGAGGAAGAATGAAGAATCAATAAAAACAAAGATCATGATCTATTGGGTTTCATTCACTAATAATTGCACACAAGTGTCTGGCGTTCTCAAAACCAGTTATTGAATTTCTCATGTTAAAATCATTTTAGCTTACGTTAGTAAAGCAAGTTTAATTTGTATTTATCAGGGTCTATAAACATGGCTTTATTAGTAATTATGAACAAATCACTTTTTAAGTGAGCCTTAAAGAAATACAGCAAATCTAGTATAGTCTGATTCATGAATAAATGATTCTTATGAGCTGGTTCTTTCTTTAGTGAATCAGAATCATACAGCACAACCTAAGCCGACCAATTCAAGAGCAAAAGACTTGAATTGTAATGAATAATTTAAAGTTGGCATATCATGAAAATCTGACTTTTCCAGGTTTTAAGTGCTATAATCAGGTCTCTACCAATCTACCAACCAAGGCGCATCTGAGAAAACGAGCGCATCTGATTTCACTCCCTTGGTGACGTGGCAAAGGGATCTCATTATAATATTATCCCCTTAATCTGTAAGTTTCCACCCACGGCGACGTCATTGTGTTTTCGCAAGCGACAACGGTGTACCAGTTCTAATGCCATGGCGAAAGTTTGAGCAAAACATGCTAACTCCTTATATCAGAAGTTTAAACTCATATGGTTTAAAACGCATGATTTCAGCGCGATAAACATGATAATCAGAACCAAAACAGATGTTTTTTAGCAGGTACGAGCTGTAATGGCACAGCTCTATTCTGGAAAAGGGGGCGGGGACCAGCAGCTCATTTGCATTTAAAGAGCCAGGCCCGAAAAACTGTGTTTCTGCTTCCACTCAAAATAGGCATTTTCAAAATGATATAATAAATTATCTGTGCAAAACAGATGTTTTTTAGCAGGTACGAGCTGTAATGGTGCACCTCTATTCTGGAAAAGGGGGCGGGAAGCAGCAGCTCATTTGCATTTAAAGAGACAGGCACGCAAAACAGCGTGTTTCTAATTCCACTCAAAATAGGTATAAAAAAATGATATAATAAATGATCTGTGGAATATTTTGAGCTGAAATTTCACAGACACATTCTAGGGACACCAGAGACTTATATTACATATTGTAAAAAGTGGCATAATATGTCTCCTTTAAAAAGGCAAACTCATAAGTAATCATTTAATCCATCTGATGAATCTTTCACTGAATAAACAGTTTTACACTAATGTTATTTTGGAATTATTATATAGTGTTACAGTTTTCATTAAAGGGGTCATATGATGCGATTTCAATTTTTCCTTTCTCTTTGGAGTGTCACAAGCTCTTG